CATCATACTGATTAATATACCTCTCACCTCATTTACTTAATTATTGTGTTAAAACACTTATACTCTATACTTAATAGATCCGACATGTACCGTTGCAATATGCACCTCTGCATGTGGCCCTCCAGAGTTAGAACTGTTGTGTTTTTCTTACACTTAGGATCTCTGTCATTCCCATTCCAACATGTCCTCTGCTTTCTTGTTTGGCAAACTTCTCTGACCACAGCCAGAGAGTTTCTTGCTTTTTAAAACTCATGGGATTAGATTGAACTCACCTACAGAATCCACGATGATCTCCCTATCTCAATTTCTTTAATCTTAATTTCACTTACAAAGTCCCTTTAGACATGTAACCTATTCAGAGATTATGGTTTGGTATCTTGGGGCAGCCATTTTTGGCATACCACACTTCTCTGAGGATTCCAGTCCCATTGATGTAAAGTTCTGTGATACTGTTCCACAGCTTTTGAATTCATGTATTCTCTCTCTGTGTGTGTCTCTGGAGAGAGATATTTTATATGTTATTTTATATGTATTTTTTTTAATTTTAATGTGTCTAGTATTACTAGCCAATCTTCTGATTCACTGATTCTTTCCTTGGCTTTGTTGAGCCTGTTAATTAAGCCTGTTGAAGACATATTGTTTCTTTTACTGTTTTATTGTTTATTTTTTATTCCTATTTTTTTTACAGTTTCTTTTGCTGAAATTCCCCATCTGTTTATTCATGTTGTCTACTTTTTCAACTGTTAATTTACTGTTAAGAAATTAATCATAGTTATTTTAAAGTATTCAGTTGTTTTAATGTATGGTTGATCTATGATCCTGTTTCCTTAGGTATGTCTCTGACTTGTTTTTTTCCTTGTTTCTTTGTATATAGGATAATTTTTGGTAGAAAAGTGGGCATTATCTATAGGACGGGAGTGTTTCTGGGAATGGGTCTGCCTCTCCTTATGCTGGGCCCTTTGTGTGAGGGGTTAAGTCATTCCTGCTGATAATGAATGGGCTTTATGTTTTCTTGTTTTGGTTACTCTCAGTACACCTCCAGCTTTAAATTTCTCTACTTCTACACGTGTTTACTTTGGTGCTAGTTTGTCAGAGTGTCTTACTCGTTATTCCTGTTCTACCTTTATCTTTAAGTGTCCATGTTATTTCCCCTGTGCAACAGTAGTCTGCTGTGATTTGTTATTGGGTGCTTGCAAGCCTAGTGTTCAAGGGAATGGCATTTTTCTCCGTTTTCCTGCTTCAGACTCAATTTGAGTCAGATGCTTCCCTATCTCTTGAAGGTAAGGTATTTCTGCTGGTTCTGCCCATTCCCAAGTGATTGGGGAATCTCTAAATATTAGGACTCAGGACATTTTTTGTTCTTCCCTCTAGCTGCCCACTTCTGTGCTCTGAAGATGGCAGGGTTTGTAGTCTTCCTCTAAGATGCATGAGGTTTTCCATCCAGAGCAGACAGGAAGAAGAATCTGGCTGAGCTTTGTGTCTTTTCTGCAGCAGTTACCTCTCCCTCCCTCCGTTAGCCAGCAGCAGTAAAGAAAGTTTTCTGCAGTCTTTCTGGTTGCCTCCAGTCTTTCTTAGGAGTTCTCGTTAGGTTTGTGTAGAAGAGCCTGGGAATTGTTAGTTGAGTTGAATAAGTTAGTTTTTTTGTACAAAATAATTTGCTAAAGAACACATTGTTCTCAGAGCTACATGTGGCAGTTTGTCCTGTAATCCCAGCAACTCAGGAGCCTGAGGTGGAAGGATAGCTTGAGGACAGGAGTTCAAGACCAGCCTTTGCAACATAGCAAGACCTGTCTCTGCAAAAATTAGCTGGGTGTGCTGACACACATATTTAGTCCTAGCTACACCACTGACTAAGATAAGAGAATGGCTTGAGCCTGGGAGTTCAAGGCTGCAGTGAGCTGTGATAGTGCCACTGTGCTCTCCAGCCTGGGTAACCAACCAACCAATCAAAATCCACCCTATCTCAAAGGGGGGGGAGGGAGGGGGGGAAGGAGAGAAGGAGGAAAAGAAAAAACAACAAAAGAGAAAAGAAAGCCGTTTTCTTCTGGTGGCTCTATGTTCTTTTTATTTCTATTTTAAAGGGAACATTTTATTCATTTTTAGAGGACTAGGACACTCTCATGTTGACATGGTTTTTAATTTCTTTTTTACATGTTAATGTAAAGGTTATCTACCTTTTCATATATGCCTTGGAATTGGTAAAAAGGAGTTTTATGTAGTGTGTTTCTTTGAGATGAAGATTAAAATAAACAAAATAATAGTATAGGGGCAACATGTCTTTTTCTTCAATTTTTCTGGTAATCTATACTTGGCAAGTGATAAACGAGGTTCTGAGGGAGCTTATGTCTGTACTGCTTCCTTTGAGAATTTAAGTTCTGTAGGATGAAGATCACTTATTTTATAGTGTTTACTCTCCTTTGAAATGCATTGCAGGGAATCTACAAATATTAACAACAAAACTATCTATTTTCTTCAAAAAGTGATGATGGAATTTTTCCACTTAGAATATTTTGTCATGTTTAATCAAGAAATCTGGGAGTATTATTTGAAAATGGGGTTTTGTATTCAAACTGTTGATCTCTTGCTGAGTAAAAAGTTGTATTATTTGTCATCTATTAGAAAATTAAAATTATGTTTGCAAAATGATATGTAAGAATGATAGTTAATCTTCTAATTTTATAAGAAAATATTTGCAAAAATTCTTATTGTAGGGATTCACTCACTGAGGAATGCTTGTTTTTATCCATCACCCCAAAGCCAGGGTAATTAGTAATTAACGTATATTACACACTCTTTCACACAGAAGTAAAAAGATCAGATTAATTAAAGTTTTTATTGGATATTTAACTTAATCAAGAGGAATAATTTTGTAATTCTGAAACCTCTAAATCATAAGAAACTTATGAAGAAGGAGGAAAATATTTTAAACTGGAGTGAAAAAAGTTTCTGGCTTTGATTAGATAATAGTGCATTAAACCCAAAGTATAGTTATGATATCAACCATCATGAATCCAGATTTTCTCTAAACAATTTATAATAATTAAATCTAGATTTTTCTCTTCTTCATGGACTGGTTATTGCCATTCTTACTTACCATTCCTTGGTAGGCTGGATTAGTCTAGTTGGGGAGAGTGGTGGGACATGATCCTGAAGACCAGAAGGAATAATAAAACAGTGATTTCAAAGAAGAAGCTCTGCTCATTCCCACTAAAAGTTATTATCATTACTCAATGACTTCAGGTATCCTTTTTTTGGCCAGCATACTTAACTGCTGATAAATACTCTTCACTAAAATAGTTATTCCCAAAGTGTCTTTTCTGTTCTGGATCAACAGTATCACCAACACCTGAAGATTTGTTACAAGCACAGATTCTCGCCATCCACTCAGACCTGTTAGGCAGAAATTGAGGTTGGGGCCTCGCAGCCTCTTTAAATAGGACTTGGGTCTAATTCTGATCTGCTCTGAACCTTGAGACACTTCCTTAAAGATTGTTGGCTTAAGGGATGATAGAGTAGGGACAACAGTGAAAACTCATGTTGTCACCAAGTCTGCTATGCCACACCAAAGTCCTTTTTCCTTGTCCCAAGTTGTTCCTTCAGAATATTCTAAATACACGTGGCAGTGACTAAACTGAGTTCTCTCCATGCTTTTTCCTCTCTCTAAAGTATTAATCCAGATAACATGAGGTAAGGTTAAATAGAAGCACTGATGGTGAAGTATGGAGTGCAGAGTGCCCAAAGATCCGAACTTGGTGTTTTCAAGTTAGTAAAAAAGGGTATCCCAGATTATTCCCTAGTCTCTCCTGAGCCACTTAAAAACTTGAAAAAATATGTCAGATTTAGTTTTAAATATTAATAATATATTGAAATTTTTTTTTATTTGTAAATATTTCTTCATATGTAACAATAATGTTGTCTAGGTATTGTGACAGAAATGTTACTATTTCAAAGCATTACTTAATTCCTTACTGTAACATGTCTTCTGTGTATAAGAATATGTATGCATCTAAAATACATATTATTACATAGATTTTGTTTTGTTGAACATGTAAAAGTCATGTTTTGTAAGAGTAAGTATGAGTGTGTTTTATTCAAAATAGCAGTTACAAAAGCTGACACCATTGGCCTCCCTGTGTGCCAAGTCCTCTTCTTTGCACTTTATATGTCTTAGTTTATTTAATCCTCACTGGATAGGTGCTGTCATGGTCTTTATTTGGCAAACGTAGAAAGCCCAATGAGCTCAGGGTTACCAGTCTAGCATATGAATAGAGCCAAGGTTCCAGTCCAAGCAGTCTTACTTCAAAGCACTTACATCTAAAAGGATCTGTTACCAAATTATACATTTGCCTAAGCAGAAACACCATCTTCATTCATATGGTACTTTCATATACCATTCAAAGTATTTCCCATAATATCAAATGATGCTTATCTTAGGTAAAGCCATTAACTTAAAATTCATCAGTGAGCAGTGTAAATAATAACACAGCTATTTGTAAAGGAAAGTAAATGGGCTCATGAAATGGAAAATGCCTACTGTGGCAAAGCATGCAGCCATGTCACATGGATCCCAGGAGTCCCTTATTATTAGTTCAGCTTTTCAGAGAATACCTCCTTGAGAGCAAGAATTAAATTCTTTGTAACTGGCCTTGTGACCCACATAGGTGTTCAAACTCATTTTCTGTTATAGATGTATAGAGGGACAAAATATTAACCTTATCCTGTGCTCCTAGAGCTATGGACAGTCTTTGGAACCCGTTCAAGCAGCAGAACCCTGGTTCTTCTTCAAAGTCGAGTCATTCTAATTTAGCTGTCATCTTTTGAGGATCCTTAGAACTGTAGGTGAAACTCTACAGGTGTCCTTTCTATATGAAGCTTGTTATTATTACATGGGCGAGGCTTGGGCTTTTTATAATTACTAAAGATGTTAATTTAGAAGTAAAGTTTATTTAGCATTTTTTATTGAATTATATTTATTAGTCTTTATGTCTTAATTTCAACAGCATCACTGCAAAACTTGAAAGAGCTTTAGAAAAAGTTGCTCCTCTTCTTCGTGAAATTTTTGTAGACTTTGCCCCATTCCTATCTCGTACACTTCTTGGCAGTCATGGACAAGAGCTATTGATAGAAGGTATGATTTCTCTCTCTATTCTAATTATTTTAGTTTTCTATAATGTATGTGTTAACCGTGGCGTAATTTGTGATTCTGGAAGAATATATAGAATCTAAAGGTATTACTTCCACAGTTTCTAAGAAGTTACTCAATATATGCTTTCTCCTTACTGATTTTTTAAAAATAACATTTTTGGGGGCAGCGCCTGTGGCTCAAAGGAGTAGGGCACCAGCCCCATATGCTGGAGGTGGCGGGTTCAGACCCAGCCCTGGACAAAAAAAAAAAATGCAAAAAAATAAACCAAACAAACAAAAAATTACATTTTTGCATAGTCAATGCCAATATGAGAACTTTGGAAATCAGGTACATTGGAAAGGTGTACAGCGAGAGACATTGCTCTTTGACCCCAGTCTCTTACGCTGCTGTATGTCCTCTCATTAGGACGAAGGAATGGTCTCTAAAACTTTCTTCTAGTTCTGAGAGCGGTGCTTCTTCAGCTACTTTGCTTATTCACATAACATTTGTGATGTGACAATTTTAAGAGGAAAGACATTAAAAATATGGAGAAACCCTTCATTGGGGATTGAAGGCAGCTGTTGTCTTCTCAACATCAGCTTAACCAGAGTAGAAGGCAACAAAATAAATTCATTATGAGCAAGATTTAATTTATGAAACTGAATTAGGAGAGTGGCTTTGAAAAATATGGTTAACAGAAGTCATTTCTTTATAAAAAGTTTTGTTTTGTGAATATGTCTAAGCTGTAGAAAGGAATAATTGGTACAAAGATGATCCTGCAGGTGAATAAAGGCCGCTGGTGCCACCTCAAGTATTACTTGGATTTAGCAGCTTTACAGACTTTTTTGGTTTTCACTTCCTGTTGACTGTAGAAGCAAGGAAGTTTTTCAGTGCCTGTCGTGTCCTGTTCCAATTGCTTCTATACAATGAATGTTTCTACTAGAAAGATGGCAATACTTAATAATACAGTCTCTGGGAGCAGCTGCCTTTGATCATACTTCTACTACTTCTTAGGTCTTTGACCTTTGAGAAATACTTAGCCCCTTTGTATTTTAGTTTCTCTTTTATAAAATGTGGTCGGTGATAACTCCAGGGCTGTTGTGAGGTTTAAATTGCACAAAGCATGTAAAGCTTAGAGCAATGACTGGTGGGAGGGTACTCAGTTTTTCAAAAATACTGAGTACCAGCTCTGGGCTAATACTTCTAGGTACTTGGGATATATTAGTAAATTTCAGGTCAAGATTCTTGCCTTTGTGAAGCTTGTATTCTAACAAGGGAAGATAGTAAATAAGCATTAAACCAAAATGAATGATTAAGTTATATAGCATGTTAGAAGATAGCAGGTAAAAGGACAACTATGATAACAGAAGGGATTGGGGCACTAGAATGGCAAGGTTGGGTTGTAGTTTTTAATGTGGCCAATTTTAAATAGTCTTCATTCATTTGGGCAAAGATTTAAAAGAGGTAACGTACAACTTACTTGTAAAAGAGTGTTCTAGGCAGAGAGAATAGTCAGTACATTGACCCTAAAATGGCTGTAGGTAGACATTTTTGGCCTGATCAAAGAACAGAAAAAATGCCAGTATCTTATGAACTAAAAGGATGGTTGGATATTAAGCCAAGAAATTTAAGGGGTCTTTGGCTTTAACAGATGTGGTATGGGAAGTGTGTTACAGTTTTGAAAAGAACAGGGATGTCACCATTGTCATTGTCATAATAACAATACTTCCACCTTTAAAATAAAATAGAAAATGTTGCCAAGAACAAGACACTGAGAAGAATCACACTAATTTAAAGCTGCCCAAAATTGAACTTAAGAAGTTCTTAGAAACTTATAAACTATTCCTTAGCCACAGATCATGTCTGTGATTTCAGTAGATTCCTTCTAAATGTATCTTATAAGGGTACATGTGAATCTTTGTAAATGTAGAATATAAATGTCTTAACACAATAACTAAGAAAATGACATGAAGGCTATATTAACCAGTTTGATGAAAATATTTCAGATTGTATATAGAACCAACATATTGTATCCCATGACTGCATTAATGTACACAGCTATGGTTTAAAAAAAAAAAAAAGGAAAAAAAATAAAAAATACATGTATGTAATTGATTGTACAAAATCACATAGTCATTGATTTATTCAAAAAGAAATACTTACTGCCTTACTGCCAGGGTTTAAAAGGCATGATCATTATGTCTTATAAGTTTACAGTCTAATGGGAAAATAGACATAAAAACCAGTAATTAAAACGGAGTCCAATACATGCTATGATGAAGGTTCAGACATAAGGTACAGTAAGAAGTGAAAGTAGACCGCATACTGACCACCTCGCAGGGCACGTGCCCTTTTATGTGGATCACTAAGGCCTTTACATAGACCTGGTCTTCCCCTTCCAGCACCTAAAGCAACTCCACTCATTTTGAACCGGTAGTTTCTGTTATCTTCCTCTACTTAACTACCCTCACAGCTCAACCCAGTCTTCTGAATTCCAGACATATTTTGAGCTACCTAGCCTGGGCATCTCTATCTACCCTAAATCAGTTCCTCCAAAATTTACTCATCATTTCTATCAAATTGCCTTTCCTATTAAATTTATTCCTTTTGTTATTAACATTACTACTAATATAAACTTTTGAGGTAAAAATCTGATTAAAAAAAAAATCTTTTCTTCCTCAAATTTGATATTTACAATTACTTGATGAGAATTGGTAACTTCTGAAAACAGTATTCATTTAATTTTATAAATATTATTAACATGACAAATACTATATCAAGCCATGTTGAAGGACTTCCAAAGTAGCATAAATGTTAAGTTAGGTAAAAGTGTCAGTGTTGTGGTTAAGGATTCTAAAAGGTTATTGGTTGATTCTTTTTGATTTGCTTTTTTTTTTTTTAATCCTTTCAGTGTCCTTAGACATATACTGAGGAGCAAGAATGTTAATTATTTGTAGTTGCATTTTTATATTTTTCTGTAATATGTGTTATTTTTATAATGTGCAATGTTTATTAAAAAACAAATCTTAAGTATTTCCTCATTCCTTAGAAAATAAAAGCTTTTCACTTTTTCTCTATTTATGTATATATTTTCCTAAAATTATTTGACATGTTTACAGAAATTTATAAATGCTGGTTAAAGACATAATAAAATAGGACAAAGAATAAAGTTAGTAATGTAATAACGTTAGTAATGGATCCTGTATCTTTATTAAAACTAAGTCACACATGTTGCACAAGTATTTTAGCAGCCACAGGGAAAGCAGATTTATACTGTTACAAGAATCACATTACTGATTACTCAGTGACAATTTGCAACAATTTTAGGTTCTAAGGAATTATTCTAGAGTAACTGTTTAACTGCTCTGTGTTGCCCAGTCAGGACCACCTGTGTGTAGCTTCTTGCCAGAATTTTCTAATAGCACATTGAGACTATTTCTTATTATTTCTTCTAATCAGTGCAGATAGAGGGCAGGAGAAATTGTTCTTACTTTAGAGCTGTTTTACTTGGGTTTCTTTACGTTTATACACACATATAAAATATTCTAACTTGAGTGGGAAGGGCATTGGGAATATCTCTCCATTGATAGTACATCCAGGTGAACTTGTATTTTTATATTAAATCATAAGGAGGTGTATCGGTATTTTTAAAAGAGTGACTATGTTAGAAATAAAATATTGAAACAAGTTAGAGATAGAAATTCATTCAGTATCATCCTGACAGAATACAATTTTGTCTTATATAACTTTTCAACATTCAAAGAACTTTAATGTATACTATTTTTAACGCTGATACTCATTTCCTTCTTTGCTGATGTTAGAATAACTTTTTAAAAATAAAAGAATGCTAGCAAAAGGTAGATTTTTAGGCTTTGAGTTTTGGTTTTTAATGCTATTACTTGGCAAAATAAAAAGTTGACCACCCTAAGATGTGGTGCTATAAATTTTTACTAGTCCATACGATCAAAAATTCTAAAGAGTATTGCTGTATAACAGAATAGCATTCAGTATCCCTTCACAGTCTAGTCATAACCTTTCTTTCCACTTGCTACTGGAGGCATTTCTTAAACATGTAATCAAGTTGCACACTATCTCATCTCCTTGATTTTGTATAAATCTTCCATCTGCATCAAATCATTTTCCTGTTTTCTCTCCCCTAATGTTTTACACTCCTTAAACCAAATTAATGCCTTCTCTTCTATGCTCCTATGGAATTTCATTTATACAATATTAATAAAATTATTTTTCACTTATTGTATGTAGGAAATATCTTATTATTTATATTACTGTTGCCTAGATTAGATTCTGGTACGTAAAATATTCTGTAATTTTTCCCTTGTACTTGAATAAAACATTATTTTTATTACTAATTTTTGGTAGAGAGAAATTTTGAAAGTAAAGGAAGATTGGTAAAATGTTGATGAGAATTCTCAGTGTTGATAGTTATCCATACCCACGAGTTTGGTGCTGTACTCATCTAGGGGCCATTCTTACTCCCCAGCCTATATGCATGTCCTGTCAACTTCTCATTCTTGAGCATGTGCTCTTATTCATCATTTCTTTTTTCCTCTCCGTTTATTTCTTTCATTTTGGCTAATTTTTCTCTCTCCTGAAAAACCATCTAACTCTATGAAGAACCCAGGATATTTACATGATATAAATATCTTTAACTTAGCCTTTGAATGTTTCTGTTTAAGAAGTAGTGCTTATGATGAATAAATCTCACTGCCTTGACTTTATTGTACATAAATTGTATGGGAGGAACACAACTGAATCTAGACAACTGAATATACTTTAATGTCTTATGAAATTTCCTTGCAAAGGAAATTACTCTTACTTTCAGGCAATTTTAAAATATATTTGAATTGTATCTTTAGTTGATGTTTATTATTCAGTTTTTCTTGATGCACACATTATATTGTGTTTATGTTTTTTCTTATGGAATGAGCATTGTCTATGCATTTTAAGGTCCTTTTACTTTCTTTATTTGCCCATCTCTCCTA